TAGTGGGTTTAAACCAGTCAAAAATAATTTAATCTTCAGCATTCGAAAGTAAACTTTTAATATAAACATACTAAGTTAGATACTTCCCTGAATCTATATACATTGCTGCTAAATGTATACACATCGATATGTGTATGCAAAGTGTCTGCAGTTAGGTTAATTTATCAGGCTTAAAGCCTATAGACTACACAAAGGTCATTAAGACTGCATGTCACCTGTTCATCACCAGTCGAAAATGTTTTAATCCCTAAAATAGGGGTTAAAATTTCGGTTTATATACACTGAGATATACACACCTCGCAGTAGCTCTTTATACACTAAATATTTTTCAATTATCTACTGATGAGGAGTTATACAGAAGCCGAAACTAGAGAACTCAAAATTTTGGATAGTTCTTAACTTATTTCTTAACTTATTTAGTTGTTCATGACAGTTTTAGATATGTGGGTTAATTAATGAAGAATTTTATTATATCTTAGTTTCCCCTGAAGGTTGTACGTGTCCTGACCATAGAGTGAAATATAGATAAGCAAAGTCTAAGATAACTAATTCAAATTAGCCGGTGTTAGCAAGATTAGGCAGTTGTGTTAGCCTTGCTGCAAAATGCATGAAATGGGAAATAAAGAGTGTAATGGGGTACTTTTAAAGTATATTTTCTTTGGTGCGGCATCTCAATGGTAGTGATGTAACACACACAGAGCCATGGAGGATATATACACGGAGACGTGTGTGTTTGTACTATATTCTCCATCTTCTGTACATTCCAAGACGAAGACTCTACCTACTCTGAGGTGAAAGTCTCTTCATCCAAGTAACTAGAGATACTCTCCCATAAATTTAACCTGATTACCTCCCATTCCCCAGTTACTCAATGACTCCTGTGGGTTTAGCACCTCTCCGTCAGTAATAATAATAATAATAATAATGATAATAATAATAGTAATAATAATAATAATAATAATAATAATAATAATAATAATAATAATAATAATAATGATAATAATAATAATAATAATAAATAATAATAATAATAATAATAATAATAATAATAATAATAATGATAATAATAATATAATAATAATAATAATAATAATAATAATAATAATAATGATAAATAATAATAATAATAATAATAATAATAATAATAATAATAATAATATTATTATTATTATTATTATTATTATTATTATTATTATTATTATTATTATTATTATTTATTGATATACAGAGTAATAAAGGAACACGGAAACACATCGGTTGTAAAAATCTTTATTTACAATATTTAATTACAGTCCAGGTAAGTACAGGTAACCATGGTGACACCTAAACTTGCCAGGTCGCTAACTACCTGCGTGTGTACGCTCCGCAGGTACACAGGTGCTAACCTACACAGGTACACCTACCATTGATAATGAGGTGCCCAGGTGAGCAGGAGCAAGTGTGTAGCGGAGGTAGCACCACCCAGGTAGCTCCCACGGCCACGTACACGCACACACACCTATGTACACCTCTTGACCAACTGAAAGCAATAATGAGCGCCTATGATGGATGGGTCTCAACTCAAAGACACTGCCTGGTAGTAGTACATTTACTTATTATGTATATATGTACAGGTTACATATTTATATATAAGGGTTAGAGTGTGTAGGGGGGTTTACACGGGGAGGGGGGAGGGGGTCAACATTCTCACCAGGTCAGTACAAGTAGTAGAAAGTCAGCATTCTCACCAGGTCAGTACAGATAGTAGGGGGTTCAACATTCTCACCAGGTCAGTACAGGTAGTAGGGGGTTCATCATTCTCACCAGGTCAGTACAGATAGTAGGGGGTTCAACATTCTCACCAGGTCAGTACAGGTAGTAGGGGGTTCAACATTCTCACCAGGTGAGTACAGGTAGTAAGGGGTTCATCATTTTCACCAGGTGAGTACAGGTAGTAGGGGGTTCAACATTCTCACCAGGTGAGTACAGGTAGTAGGGGGTTCAACATTCTCACCAGGTCAGTACAGGTAGTAGGGGGTTCAACATTCTCACCAGGTGAGTACAGGTAGTAGGGGGTTCAACATTCTCACCAGGTCAGTACAGGTAGTAGGGGGTTCAACATTCTCACCAGGTCAGTACAGGTAGTAGGGGGTTCAACATTCTCACCAGGTCAGTACAGGTAGTAGGGGGTTCATCATTTTCACCAGGTCAGTACAGGTAGTAGGGGGTTCAACATTCTCACCAGGTCAGTACAGGTAGTAGGGGGTTCATCATTTTCACCAGGTCAGTACAGGTAGTAGGGGGTTCAACATTCTCACCAGGTCAGTACAGGTAGTAGGGGGTTCAACATTCTCACCAGGTCAGTACAGGTAGTAGGGGGTTCAACATTCTCACCAGGTCAGTACAGGTAGTAGGGGGTTCATCATTTTCACCAGGTCAGTACAGGTAGTAGGGGGTTCAACATTCTCACCAGGTCAGTACAGGTAGTAGGGGGTTCATCATTTTCACCAGGTCAGTACAGGTAGTAGGGGGTTCATCATTCTCACCAGGTCAGTACAGGTAGTAGGGGGTTCATCATTCTCACCAGGTCAGTACAGGTAGTAGGGGGTTCAACATTCTCACCAGGTCAGTACAGGTAGTAGGGGGTTCAACATTCTCACCAGGTGAGTACAGGTAGTAGGGGTTCAACATTCTCACCAGGTGAGTACAGGTAGTAGGGGGTTCAACATTCTCACCAGGTGAGTACAGGTAGTAGGGGGTTCAACATTCTCACCAGGTCAGTACAGGTAGTAGGGGGTTCAACATTCTCACCAGGTGAGTACAGGTAGTAGGGGGTTCAACATTCTCACCAGGTGAGTACAGGTAGTAGGGGGTTCAACATTCTCACCAGGTCAGTACAGGTAGTAGAGAGTCAGCATTCTCACCAGGTCACCACAGGTAATAGGGGAGGGAGGGGGGAGGGAGGGGGGAGGGAGGGGGGAGGGAGGGAAGATTTGTGTTTCTCTCCGGTGTACGCAAATTCTCCTGTACATTATATACACCTGGAATACGCACCTGTCGGCGTACAGGTAGTGTTGGACAAGCCCGGGAACGCACGCACACACACACACACACACACACACACACACACACACACACCACATCAAAAACATCACAGGTGATGCCACCTTCCAGCAGGGTCTCACCTTAACCAAAAAATGACAGGCAGATGACTCATTAAACGATAAAAAATAACAACAGCAACAACAACAACAACATTAATCTACTGGACGAGACTTGATGACGTGAAGTCTGTAAGGGCCCACAATCTCCCTGAGGGCCCATGAAACCCTGTAAATGGCCAACAAGCCCTTTAAAGGGTCCTGTAAAGGGTCCGTAAAGGGCTAACAAGCTTTTTAAAAGGTCCACAAGTCCTGTATAGACCTCACAAAACCTATAGAGGGCCAGAATCTCTGGATCGAGCCCTGAAGGCCTCTTAAGGAAATGAAAGCCTTGCTGTGGGCCCAGGAGCCCTTTGATGGGCCCATAAGCTTTCTGAAGTGCTCAAAAGCTCTCCTTAGGGTGCAAGAGGTCCCTAAGAAAGCCCTATAAGGGCTCTGGACGACCTTCAAGTTCCTCAAGAAGAGCTCTTAAGTTCCTCACAAGCCTGAACATTGACCTGAAAGACCCAGTGCTACTACAGGGTCCAGAACCTCCCCTAGAGCGAGTCTCTCTCCCTGGGGAGCAACAATACTGTGCACTATCACCATTACCATTATTATTACTTGACGAATTTCTTATTCCTAATCACCTTTCGTTCTCTATTGGTCGGTTCACGCTCGCTGAAGACCTGTCATCTTTCCAGTTTCTCCAATATGTACCGGTGGTAGTGAGTGGTCTTGAGTTCTACCGAGTATCAGTGAGTGCCTTTGTGTTACACGATATTCAGATGTACCTTGAGTGCCAGCGAGTGTTATTGAATACTTTGAGTTAAGCAGTGCACCTTGCGACATTAAATCACCTTTGAAAATAAAGAATAAATGTCACAGTGTCGTGGCTGGAATAATTCACAACTAACCTACAATGGTGGCTGGAACAATTGACACCTAACTTACAGAAACGTGGCTGGAACAATTGACACCTAACTTACAGAAACGTGGCTGGAACAATTCACAGATAACCTACACTTTATAGAGAAAACTCTAAATGACATTTCGATCCCTCCTGAACCATTATCAGGTCCAGGACCGACCGATACGTCGTATTTAGTTTCCTTTTCAAACTGATGGTTGTGCCTTGAACATGCACACGAACGAAACATTTGAAAATAGAAATATATCGGAAGAGTAGATTCTCTCTGTTATATCTAAAATTATTTTGAAATATATTAACATACTAAACGGAGGTATACTTCCGTTAGTTATAACGAAACAGTTCTGTGATTAATGAAGGTGGTGATAGTGATCAGTGATGGTGCTGGTAAGTGATGGTGAAAGTGGAGATTTTTTATTATGCTGGTGGTGGTGAATAATAGTGGTAGTGGTGATCTGTGATCGTGGTGGTGATCAGTGATGGTGGTGGTGGTGATCAGTGATGGTGGTGGTGGTGATCAGTGATGGTGGTGGTGATCAGTGATGGTGGTGGTGATCAGTGATGGTGGTGGTGATCAGTAATGGTGGTGGTGGTGAAGGATATTCATGGTGCTGATCAGTGATGGTGAATATTGGCGGTGGTGAGTTGTGATAGCGAATAATTTTGGTGGTGATCTGTGGTAGTGATGATTAATCTCTGACCTGAGTTACACGAGCCTATGTACATTATATCCTAATGAATACACCTTCCCAATCAGCCTTCCTCACCCTGTCACCCTCCCTCACCCTGTCACCCTCCCTCACCCTGTCACCCTCCCTCACCCTGTCACCCTCCCTCACCCTGTCACCCTCCCTCACCCTGTCACCCTCCCTCACCCTGTCACCCTCCTTAAAGGTGATCAGCTACGCACAAACTGATGCCAGTTTAAATAATTAACCAAATTAGAAATAATACTGTTGTTTTTTTAGTTTACGGGTATATACGTTAAACCTCTATTGAATCATACGTTAAACTTCTATTGAATCATACGTTAAACTTCTATTGAATCATACGTTAAACTTCTATTGAATCATACGTTAAACTTCTATTGAATCATACGTTAAACTTCTATTGAATCATACGTTAAACTTCTATTGAATCATACGTTAAACTTCTATTGAATCATACGTTAAACTTCTATTGAATCATACGTTAAACTTCTATTGAATCATACGTTAAACCTCTATTGAATCATACGTTAAACTTCTATTGAATCATACACTAAACTTTTATTAAATAATAATATATACGCTACATATCTAAGTTATGGTATATACGCTGCTTCATGAGTCATGGTATATACGTTTTCCTTTATTACTCCAAGACTGAAGGTATTAAAGGCGTGTTTACCTACTCTGGACATTATTAAAGCCGGAGTTTAATTAAACCTAATCAGCCAGATGTCTTAATATTCCTAATTTGTTGACTGTTCTGAGACTAACAATATAACTAATTAACCCGAGATGTTACTTGCACTGCAGGACATGTATTTAACAAGTTAGTTTTCTCGTTATATTGTTCATCTTAATGCTAAATGGACGGTAGCAGATCCAGTGGTGCGTCACTGGGCCATGATGATTACCTCTATTTTCTAACTGCTTTTACGAAGCTCTGTACTACTAGCAAGCACCAATAACCTGAGTTATCAGCAGCCAGAGTGTGGAGCCTCTATTCCCTTCTTGTGAGGAGTTCAACGCTTCGTAAAAATACAATATAATCTACCGTGACACTGGTGAGAGGCTCTTTAAGTAAGGAACTGCAGATGTCCTCTCCTTCCCTCTGATCGAATTTGATTACCACCTATTGTCCAGGCGCTTTTTGCCCCTTACGAGTTTAGTACTTTCCCGTGAATAACATACTACTACTGCTAATGTTACTACTACTACTACTACTACTACTACTACTACTACTACCACTAATAATAATAATAGGTTAGTAATATTAGCAATATATATAATTACTTAGGCTTATAACACCCAGTTGTAACTCAGGTCAAGATATTAACCACTATGTAATACAAGGAACACCTGTAACTCACAGGGAACACTGCCTAACTCATAATGTAAGTATATAACTCGGAAGGTGACTGCTTGACTCACAAGGTACACTGCCTAACTCACAAGGTACACTGCCTAACTCACAAGGTACACTGCCTAACTCACAAGGTACACTGCCTAACTCACAAGGTACACTGCCTAACTCACAAGGTACACTGCCTAACTCACAAGGTATACTGCCTAACTCATAATGCTAGTATATAACATACAAGTTGACTGCCTGATTCACAAGGTACAGTGTGTAACTCGCAAGTTACATTACATAACTGAAGGTACACAGTAACTGGAGTCCCGACTGACATTACTTGATTTGTTTTTCTACGTCGTATCACCGACGTATTGGCCAAGCATCTCCCTTTTAACTTTGTTAATAACGTCTCTGTGATGTATCTGAGACGTTAGATGACAAGCAGACAGACGTTACGTACAGTTGTCATACCTGTATGTTGACGGTGACGGTTATGACTTGTCTTCCACTGGTATTCATCAATTTTGACTCGTAGAATCATCACATGATTGTATAACGCACTTGCTTTCTAGTTTTAATCCTGTCTTGCCACGGGTTTAAACCTTCATTCCGTTCAGTGTGTAATTTATCTAGTTTTTTCTGGCGTTAAACTCGACAGCAAAACAGTCTTGCCGCTGTTGGACCGTCAGTAAAGGATTCTTCTCACTACTAACACAGGCGTAAGCATTGTTTAGCTTATTTGCAATTTTTTACACGGACATTTTGAAAGCTTGCTTTGTTCATATACTGTGTCCCACCTGTACCGTAGGTCCGTGTTCCATTTGTAGGTCTATGTTCCCGTCTGGTTCAGAGGACTATAGAGATCATTCTCGGGACCGCCGTATGAATGAGAACATGATAGAAGTTCTCTGAAGTCGACTTGTAAGTCCTCTGAGGTCGACTTGTAAGTCCTCGGGGTCGACTTGTGCACCGAGAATAAGATGAACTTCCTCTGGGAACACTGTGAACATCCTCGTTACCGACCGGACGTTGGTCACTCCTGAGGAGAGGCTGAGGACTCAATGGTCCTCGGGTTGAGAGCAAAGAAAGAGGAGGAGGAAAAGGATTCAGTGGTCCTCGGGTCTTGAGCAGAGGAACCGAGCTAGCTCAGCGTCCAGCTGTTGGCTGAAAGAGAAATAAAACACGGTCAGTAACATGCACACTGAAACACCATGCTAGAAGACAACGTATAAAAACCATCACAAGATGTACGGGGGGAAACAGTTACCTCAGACAGTTGGTGTTGGCAAGTGGTATTGAGGATATGAGGATATCAACACACACGTACTGTGAATATAGGTGCACAGGGATTATTGTCAAGGGTGCATACACATCATCCTTGTCTCACACACACACTAATGTACACATGTGTATAAAACTCACAAACACACATACATGTCCAAAAATATGCTATAAATGGCTCCTAGACTTAAAAAATATAAATTTAATGATTCTTCCTCTTCATCTTCTTCTTCTTCATTATTATTATTATTATTATTATTATTATTATTATTATTATTATTATTATTATTATTATTATTATTATTACTATATAACGATCATACAGCTCCTGAGGAACAGTAGGTTTAGGTGTAATCAGGCTTGATACGAGGAAGGGGAGGACAGTTTGAAAATACTGAAAACAGTTGAAGATGTTGTCACTGGTCAGAAGGGGGGACAGAACAGATTTAATAACGTGACATCACAAATGTACAGATACACAGATGTCTCACGACACTGTGGTAAAACGACTGTAAGTGAATCACAAGAACGCCACACTTACACTGCTGTGAAATTTCGTCTGTAAAAACCCGTATTTGTGTAAAATTAGAGAAAAGCGCAATATTTGGGTATCTGTGTTTGTAGACGTTTCGCCATCCAGTGGCTTTATCAGTACAATGTGAGGATATATTGTGATGTATGTGCAACTATATGTAAAAGATAAAACCATACCACGGGCGGGATTGAACCCGCGATCAGAGAGTCTCAAAACTCCAGACCGTCGTGTTAGCCACTGGACCAGCTAGCCACAATAAGATTCGTCCAACTAGGTATATTTCTACCATACCCGCCCGTGGTATGGTTTGTTTGCAATCGTGTCATTACGATTTCGTGAGTCATGTAAAAGATGAAGTTAGTGAAGAGGATTGTAGTCTTGAAGACTCTGAGTCTTCAAGACTACACTGCTCTTCACTAAATCCAAGACTGAGGGGCAAATTACCTTATTTTTTGTATATAGTTTTACATCACATTATGTCCTTGTATTGACAAAGCCACTGGGTGGCGAAACATCGACAAATGCAGATACCCAGATGTTGCACCTGTGTCTAATTCTTCGTCTTGTCGGTATTGTATACCATTCATGTACCACTTGTACTTGTGGTCACAGTGGTGGCCCATGTTAACCTCCCTGTGGTGTATAGAAATATACCTGCTGGATGACTCTTCTTAGAGGCAGCTGGCCCAGTGGTTAACACACTGGCCTCGCGAGTTTTAGGGTTCGACCCCCACTCGTTCTGTGATTTGATTACACAGATGTGTTTGTCAACAGATATATTTCAAGGATACGAAGACGCATATCAAAAATATCTTCAGTGTAGTGGTACAAATGTAAATTTCTTAAATGTCTGAAAAACCTCAGAAACGCGTAAATATTGGGAAACGTCGAAGTTCTTCAATATAAAGACGGATATGAGGGGTATTTCCTAGCGTAGTCAACAGGGAATTATAGATCACACATATATAAATTGTGTAAGATTTTTAATAAGTTGGATCCAAGTGTCGCACTTCTGACAACAGTGAGGAGAAGACCCGGCTTATTGAAACATATATACCCTCTGTGGGCTTGTTCTGTGACGTGTGTGTGTCTTTATCAGCATTATAACAGCATTGTTTCAGGACGAGGGTTCAAGAAGTGGTACTGAATGCTTTAACCAGTTTAGATATGACACTATAAACACGCAAGACTGGATACCAGTACTATATATCCCCTCCAGTAACTACACACACACACACACACACACACACACACACACACACACACACACACTGTTTTTTATATATTATGTCTAATATGTGATAACTGATATCGATATATTACGTATACATAAATAATCTATGTGTGTATCCGCATTGAATAGTGTGTCTCGGTATATCCTCCGAGTGGTATGCATTGTGTTCGAATTTAAGCATATATGCAAAAAGTAATGTGTATATCTTACTTTATATATATCGAATGATGTATATATATATATATATATATATATATATATATATATATATATATATATATATATATATATATATACAATGAGTGGTGCATATCGCTCATTATATATACGTACATTGAGTAGTTGAGTAGTGTGATTATTTATGTATTATACATGGAGATTTAAATAACGGTGTATATTCGTCGAGAGATATACATCTATCAGTGTAGACACACCAAGTTTGCATCTATCAATGTTATTCGATGTTATAGCCGGGCTACGACACACCACACTCCAGTCTGGTACGTGTGAGGATCGATACTTCTGCACCGAACTATTTATCACAGCTTACAGAGTGAGACGTGTAAGTCTATCAGTATCTACATAGTGTAGGGATGTATTGTGACCTCAACCACCCAAGTGCAGTACTGATAGATTCTAAGCATTACCAGCATCAAGCATTAAAGTGATACATGCATTGTTGAAGATTATTATTATTATTATTATTATTATTATTATTATTATTATTATTATTATTATTATTATTATTATTATTATTATTATTGTTATTGCTACTACTGGGAAGGGTTAAACTGGTAGTTGTAATACAGCCCCAGGAACCTGGAGGGAATTCCGGGGATCAACGCCCCCGCGACCCGCTCCACGACCAGGTCTTCCGGTGGATCAGGGCCTGATCAACGATGCTGTTACTGCCGGCCACACGTAGTCCAATGTACGAACCAAAGCCCGGCTGATTCGGCACCGACTTTTGGTATCTGTCCAGCTCCCTCTTGAAGACAACCAGGGGTCTATTGGCAATGCCCCTTATGGCTGGTGGGAGGCTGTTGAACAGTCTTGGGCTCCAGACATTTACTTTATTTTCTCTTAGTGTAACAGTGGCGCCCCTACTTTTCACTGGGGGTATATTGCTTTCATAGGGAGTGATTTCTGTGTGCAGATTAGGAACCAGTCCCTCCAGAATCTTCCTGGTGTAGATTACGATATATCTCTTTCGCCTGCGCTCCAGTGAGTACAAGTCAAGTGCTTCCAGGCGCTCCCAGTAGTTAAGGTGTTTGATGGAACTTACACGTGCAGTAAAGGATCTCTGTACATTCTCTAACTCTGCAATTTCACCTGCCTTGAATGGGGATGTTAATGTACAGCAGTATTCCAGCCTAGTGAGAACAAGTGATTTAAAAATGATCATCAGTGGCTTAGCATCTCTTGTCTTGAATGTTCTCATTATCCATCCTATCAGTTTCCTCGCAGATGTGATAGTGGCATTGTTGTGGTCCTTGAAGGTGAGGTCTTCGGACATTACCACACCCAGATCTTTCACATTACTTTTCCGCTCTATTGTGTGATTAGAGTTTGTAGTATACTCAGCCGTAGTTATTATTTCCTCCAGTTTTCCATAACGGAGTAATTGGAATTTGTCTTCATTGAACATCATATTGTTTTCTGTTGTCCATTGGAAAACTTCGTTTATATCTTCTTGGAGATTTGCTGTGTCCTCAATGGATGACACTCTCATGCAGATCCTAGTATCGTCTGCAAAGGATGATACAGCGCTGTGGTTTACATCTCTGTCTATGTCTGATATGAAAATGAGGAACAGGATGGGGGCGAGTACTGTGCCTTGTGGAACAGAGCTCTTCACTATGGCAGCTCCCGATTTAACTCTGATTATCACTACTCTTTGTGTTCGATTGGTTAGAAAGTTGAAGATCCATCTGCCTACTTTGCCAGTTATCCCTTTAGCATGTATTTTGTGTGCTATTACACCATGATCGCACTTGTCAGAGGCTTTTGCAAAATCTGTGTATACTACATCTGCATTCTCTTTGTTTTCCAGTGCATCTAAGACCATATCATAGTGGTCCAATAGTTGCGAGAGGCAGGAGCGACATGCTCTGAAATCATGTTGCCCTGGATTGTGCAATTTTTGGGAGTCCAGGTGGTTTGCAATCCTGCTTCTTAGAACTCTTTCAAAGATATTTATGATGTGGGACGTTAAAGCTATTGGTCTATAGTTCTTAGCTACCGCTTTGCTGCCACCTTTATGGAGTGGGGCTTTATCCGTTGTTTTTAGTGACTGTGGAATGTCACCTGTGTCTAAGCTCCTTCTCCATAGCATACTTAGGGCCCGTGAGAGGGGTTTCTTGCAGTTCTTAATGAACACAGAGTTCCACGAGTCTGGGCCTGGGGCTGAGTGCATGGGCATGTCGTCGATGGCTTTCTCAAAGTCTAGTGGAGTTAGGGTTATGTCAGAAATTTGGCATACACTGGCAGGGTTTTGAGGTTCATTCATGAAAAAAAAATTTTGGATTGTCTGTCTTTAGACTGATTAGTGGCTCGCTGAACACAGAGTCATATTGAGAGTTCAGTATCTCACTCATTTCTTTGTTGTCATCTGTGTAGGATCCGTCTTGTCTGAGCAGGGGCCCTAAATAAGAAGTGGTTTTTGCCTTGTTTATGGCATATGAAAAGAAATATTTCAATTTTTTTTCAATTTCACTAATCGCTTTTAGCTCCTCAATATTTTCCACTTTCCTGGTTAGCGCTTCCTTCCGAGTTTCAGATAATCTGGCATTCTTGAGGAGCTCAGTGATTCTTCGCCTTCTCCTGTAGAGAGAGCATCTCTCTCTCTCCAGTTTACTTCTCGTCTTCTTTTTTTCTTAGGGGAATATATCTTGAACATACTTCAGCTACCAGGAAGTTGATCTTTTCAAGACACTGGTTAAGGTCCATTTAATTTAAGATATCTTTCTAATATGCTTCATTTAGGACATAGTTTACCTGGTCCTAGTTGATGTTCTTGTTGTTGAAGTTGTATTTGGTAAAGGTACCCTCATAGCTGTATACATTTTGCTGATGAGGACTCCTGTGCATGTAAGTCTGGACTTCGATTAGCTT